TCTCTCTCTCTGCTATTATATTATAGATATATTTATATATATTATAATATATATATATATAATATATATTATGTGTTGATGCTGTGTATATATATATATATATTATATATGTGCTAGTCTCTCTCCTCTCGCTCTGTCTCTTCTCTCTCTCTCTGCTCTTTCGTCTCTCTTTCTCTCTCGCTCTCTCCTCTCTCTCTTTGGCTTCTCTCTTCTTCTCTCTCTGCTCTCTCTCTCTCTCTCGTCTCTCTATATATATAATATATATAAAATTATATATATATATATATATATTAGATATATATATATCATATATATATATATATATATATATATATGTCTCTCTCTCTCTCTCTCTCTCTCTCTCTCTCTCTCTCTCTCTCTCTCTCTCTCTCTCTTTTCTCTCTCTCTCGCTCTCTTTCTCTCTCTTCTCTCTCTCTCTCTCTCTCTCTCTCTCTCTTCTCTCTCTCTCTATGTCGCAGTCTCTCTCTCTGCTGGGTGTCATCTATGCTATCGGATCTATCAATCTCTCTAGCTTCCCCCCCCTCTCTCTCTCTCCCCTCTTTCGTATCTCTGTCACTCAACAAATACAAATGTTGAAATCCTCTTATCCTCCCCTTGATTACAATAGCTAAATGATCTATCCAAAGAGCTTAGCAATAAACGTGATGATCCCTAGCAAGTGTCATGCGCCTGTCATACAAGTAAAAAAAAAAGTTTTAAAAAAAAGTTACAAGTCGGCAAGTAAAAATGCAAAGCATTAACGTAACACACTTGCACCAGATTTTATGCTTGACGTCACGATTCAAGCGTAAGCAGCATCGCCAACACTGCTTGATTGATGATAACGAATAATCGCGACGATAACGAGACAATGTGAGTCGTACGCGTGTCCGCAGGGATGCTGCGGACGTTTTCCCGAAGCTCTCGTCTCGGCATCTGTTGTTTGCTTTTCTCGCAGCTTCGCGTGTTTGTGCTAGCCTGCGAGACAGCGATGTGTGGCATCGTACGATGGCTCAACATCTGCCCCGCGCACGCCGTCGCTCTCTGGCTCTGCCAACGTCCAGCCGTCGCCGGTAAGAGATCGCCCACACACGGTCGGCAGTAAACGATAGGAGAATTACTTCTATTTAGTATTAACAAGTATTAAAAAATAGGAGTAAACAATATTTAGTAAACAATTTTTTAGTAGTAAACAATAGGAGATTTATCTCTGTTTATTATTTACTCATGTTACGATAGCAACCCCACCACAGTTTTTATGGAAGGATTTTTTAGAAATTGGTTGATTAGCTAAGAGGAAGGGCTTTGTTGCACATGCATCATAGAGAATATACATGTAACTAGTAAAAAATGTTGTAGTTAAAGGTATATTTTCCTGAAGAATGTGATGTTGGTAGATTGGGTAGACTGGGCACTTAACATAGCAAATGTACATGTAAATAACGATATTATAGCAAGAGAATGGTTTCAATAGGGCCTGATTTTGATTGGGGAAGAAAAGGAAAACACGTTAACGTGTCAAGCACGTGTTTGTACGTTATTCCACACCTGTATTGATGAAGTTTATCTCAGTTAAATCCAAATTAAGTTAAAAATTAACTTCAACACTGACGAAATTTTCATCCATATCTTCGGTAGCTTCAATTCGTCTAATCGGAGCAGAAGGGACGAAAATTCCGTCAGAATGTAAGGTTATTTTATATCTTAAATTTTGATATAACATAGGTTCCCGAGTTCTTGAAAGTCCTTGATTGGGGGAGTCATTGAAAAGTACTTGATTTAGTTAAATGTTTGAATTATTGTGCTGAAAAAGTCCTTGATTTCATGAAAATGTTCCTTGAATTTTTAAGGAAAGAATCCTCCCTGCTAATCAAAAGAAATTTGTACACATCAATAATGTGCAAACCTCAAATAAGAATGTGTTAAAT